CAAAATGCTTGATAGAGTTACCTCCTCCTGTCTACAGGTTGGGTCATGATGGTGAAGAAGTGTGCAAAGTTTCAAAGCCATATGTCAATGGACTTTGAAAATATTTGAACTATTACAAAAACTTTAACGTAAATTCTAAGTCGAAAAAGGGGCATAATTCTGTCAAAATGCTTGATAGAGTTACCTCCTCCTGTTTACAGGTTGGGGTCATGATGGTGAACAAATGTGCAAAGTTTCAAAGCCATATGTCAATGGACTTTGCAAATATTTGAACTATTACAAAAACTTTAACGTAAATTCTAAGTCGAAAAAGGGGCATAATTCTGTCAAAATGCTTGATAGAGTTACCTCCTCCTGTCTACAGGTTGGGGTCATGATGGTGAACAAGTGTGCAAAGTTTCAAAGCCATATGTCAATGGACTTTGAAAATATTTGAACTATTACAAAAACTTTAACATAAGTGGTTACACCGACGCCGACGCTCGGGTGACTGCAATAGCTCTACTTATTCTTATCGAATAGTCGAGATAAAAATCGCATTTAGCTCCAAACAGTGCTTATAGACACAGGATGTTATGTATATATATCTGTGAATCCATTCTATGCGACATATATCTAGATAATGGTTTGTGTTCTTAACACTTAAATCTATTTAGCCACAACTCTTTTTCAGTTGTAACAAATAATATTTCCTGCTCAATAGTTAAATAAATAATTCACAAACACACAAAAAATAAAGTACCTTCAGAAACATGGTGTAGTTATTCTAAAAGTACATTCTTGTGACCTAATGTCATATATTTTAAAGCACAATAACTATTCTTTAACAAAAGGTAATTAATTTGCTGCTGACAAGTATAAATGTTAGTATTTTACTAAAATAATATGCTGGCTAAGGCTCCCACGTTTACAATTTTTTGTAAACGTTTACACGACTGCTAAGAACCAAAACGATACCGTTTAAACGGTGGTACCTCTATGTACTATACACTACATGTACTTGAGTCGCCAAATGATGTCTTTCTTTTTATTTTTATACATGTACAAATAAAGAATGTGCAAGGCTCATCACGATTGAGTCAGCACACATTTTTTGCATTGTAACCCCTTTTTTTACCAAAAATGTATTATGTCACGAGCAATTTTTGCACGGTAATGCTGTGTGGAGGGTTGTAAACACCCATTTTCCTTTTGTTTACTTTGGAATAAACCACTAGAATTGATAAAATCCATGATTACAGGCACTGATTAAGAAATTTTGTAAGACAATATGGTCATTTCGATTAAACGGTAAACAAAATCGTAAACGTTTATGAATGAAAATCGAAACGAATCCGTTTAAACGTGTAATCGTGGGGGCCTTAATGCTGGCTACTTCTCCTAACTATAATACATACACGTATATCAGGTAAAATATCATATACATGTATGTTGCTACATAATACATATATTTACACTTTCCATATATATTTTCTATGACACACACAAGCAAGAAATATAATCCTTCATTGAACACCATATGTTACATTAGACACAGTCATCCTATATCAATTACTTTATCAATAAAGAAACAAAATAATCTTGTTTTCTCCATAATTGCATTATCAAGGATTTTAGCTTTTTTATTGGATCCATCCTTAAAGAAACCCTATTAATTCCCAAAGTAAAGCTGAAAGAGTTTGTTTGTTTTGTTGGATTTTAAGAAACATCAACATTTTAAAGGTCATATTGCAACTTTCTAGGTGGAGGAAAATCTCAGGTGCCCCCTCGTCATAGTTCCTTGCATAATTTCAGGCACCTGCAACAAGCACCTGTCAGTAGAACCACCAATGTTCCATAAGCTATAGCTGGACTTATTAAAACTTCCTCACATGAAAGAATCCAATGAGTCCCTGGTGGACTTTGAACATACTAGTGATTTGAAGTCAATGACCTTTACCACTAGGCCACAGAAACCCCTAATTCTATTAAAATCCTATTACTATTTATGCTATATTACCTTTATACGATGTATTTTTCTTCCAGATTAGATTGTGCTTTTTACATAATGTTTTTCTTATTTCGTTTCAATTATCTTGACAATCATTATCGAAAGCATCAATTATATACTTGCTAATTGAAACATCAAGCCAGTTCATTTTATATACATAAATCTACATTATATATATATTTCACTGTCAGAATATTTAGATTTGGTCATTTGGGAATATTTTGACCTGTAATACTTTACATTTCCAATGATGCAGAACTTTTTAAACTGTAGTGTTTAGGAGACTGACACAAAAACTACTGATGGCACTAGTAGAATTGTTCCCTGATAGCTATTATTGACAGAGTTAATATAAACTTACAAGAAAAGCATTGATGCAAAGCATCAAAGGGCGTCCAAGCAAGAAATGCAGAAAGTGAAGATGAACTAGTAGACATATGATGACAAGATATTCTTATAAACTTTTCAATGGTTAATTGGTTTTTACCAGAATGAACGGACGAAAGACATTGTTCATTATGAACTTTGATTGGCACGCTAGAGATTAGAATATTACTTGTTATTTTTTTTATGATCGTGATTATTAATAGCAACGGATATACATGTATACAATCATTTATAATCCATATGTGTAACGCATGATCTACACCACACTTGTGGAATTGTCTCTTATTATGTTATCGCTATTAGCGAAGACCCCCTCTTAAGGTATCTGTTCACACTTAGTAAAAATATGACACTGGTTATATTACCATGTTGATCATGTTGAGCATAATTGTTTATTAAACAATAATTGTAATATCTATTTCAATATAAAAAAATACAGATTTTATGAATATTGTTTTCTCATTTTTTAAATTATCAATCACTTGAATATATCATAAAATGTAATTTGTAACTTTGAATAATTCCTCGGCATCCATACTAAACACGAATAACAAATTAAATAAAATGTTTCAAAGTTGATAGTGTCATATTAATACCATAAAAATGTACCCTTTTCTCAATTATTGTACATATTTATTGTTTTTTTTTCTCATATAGATAAAATAACACATGCTATATTGTTGTTGTATTTTTTTCGAATTGTATGTTTATGTATAATAATAATCAATAAATTTGAGAGTTGATTAATTATTGTAACCAAACTAAGTGACAAACATTCATTTTGGAAAAAAAAGCTTATTTATCTGTAAAATATTTGTTCTGTTCTGTAACAATATCAAACATCTCCAAAATCGGGAGAGACCGGACAATAAACGTGTGATACTATTCGCCATCCCGGTCAAAATAGAGAGAGAGAGAGACCGGGACTTACCGATAGGAGTACATCCCTCTATAAGCAGATTTTCGGAATGTTTAGGTCATCAACTCATCATTCTATTTACATGCACAACAATAACATACCATAATAACCCACTGTGTACTACAAAATGATAAATAAAAAAAACCCCAAAGAGCGCTATTTATTGACAGAAAAGGTTATTTTATTTGAAAATGTTTGCATTGCGAAATTCTCCAGTTCGCTTTTCATTGTACATATCGCGACATTTCATTCTTAATTAATAATCAAGCACCCTCATACTGATCGGAATGATCGGCTTTTATTATGACTGACTAAAAGGCTCGAGAAGTTGCTGTCGCCCTTTCACAAAATCTGATTTCATTCCATAAGAGGCGCCGCGCTTCGGCGCGGACGCCAATAATGAGAAAAAGTAGGAAAATCTATATTTAGCCTGGAAACTGACCTATGGAAAATTACCTATAATTATTCAGCCTTAGTTGGTAACTGACCCAATCTAGCTAAAATCCTAAATAAAGTATATGTCCACAAAAATAATAGCATAAAAATCTTGCATTGACACAGTCCTTTTTTTAGCAATTTTGAGAAATACTCTTCATTTTCCCTAAAAGTTCATAAATTTTAGATGTATGGCTGAAGAGATAACAATGACACAAGATAACTCTGACACTTGATAAATACTACTTTTTTAAACTTTGTTTTTCAACCTGAACAACCATATATATAGTGCAGGACAGACTATGATGATATTTTAAATTTGCTAAAATTTATATGTGTCAAATTATTACAAACAAACACTGCCTTAAAATGTTCTATTTACCGAACTACCATCATAAGCCAAATTGTCCATACCAAGTGATCAGGACCTTAAAGAAGTAACCGTTAGTTTCCATGTTCATAAATAATTATTGTAGTTAAGTCTTTGAACTGAACTGTGTTTATCTGGTCAATATTTTGAATATTTAAGATACTGCAAAAAAAAAATGATTAAGTGTCGTGTTATCTCTCTAACCACTCTATACAGTGTAAAAAAATCTGCACTTAAATGAACAGAATGTATCTTTATTTCACAAACTATATTGATTTAGTTTCTAAATTTAATCTGAATATGTCAATATTCAGAATGACAAAGAATTTCTTAGCAAATATTTCCCTTTAATATGGATTTTTTTTTCAAGATTGGGAAAAAATAAGCAGAATATATAAGGAATATGGGCCAGAAAGTCTGATTTGTGGTGACATTGGGAAAAAGACTGTATGTATTTGATGAAGAATTTGTATCATTTAAGAAACAAATGTTACTTTATTATATTCATTTAAATGTTGTTACTTTTGAGGAAGGTTCTACAAATTAAGCTTAGCTTGCAGAGGGTATAAAATTAACAAAAGTATGTCAATTCTTATTTTTTGGTTGTATTTATACATAATTATACTAATAATACAAATTCTTCCTCCATGTCCTAGTTTTTTTTCATTCTTAAATTATCTTCAGTCCTGATCCTTAACATATTTTCTCCTATGAAGAAAACATTAAAATATAACTGAATATTCTGATCATAATTATATTAAATTTATGTCGGAAATGCTATTCTAAAAATAAAATAAAATCTTACAATAAACAACAGCATATTGACCTACCTATAATATTTTTTTATATTTATTCCTCAAGACGTGTTCTCCAAAAAATCAACAAATATAAATGAATACCTTTCTAAAATCCTCCAATTCCTATTGCTTCTGTAATAATTGTCCATGCATACATTTTCATGCTTTCATTGATACAACTCATTTATATTTCAAATGCCTTTTACCACTTCTTCTGTAAGTGACATGTAATATATCCCCCACCACAATGTCACTAAGTCTTGGAAACTTTTAACAAACATTAGATATTTAGTATGACTCATTCAGTATAAAAGCCTCCTGTGCTATACTTTAATCTTTTTCATAACTTGGAACAGCAAAGTGGCAGTTATTTTGTCGTCTGCTAATTAACCCTCATCAAATATAGATGCCACAATTAGAAGGTAGCTCCCAGCTGTATAGAAAGTATTCACTATGTATAGTAGTAACTCCTATATAAACATTTACAGTATCTGACATGCACAAATGATAATATATAAAATGTCAATAGCATATGGTGCCTTAATACACACCATATTGTACCAGTCTATATTATAGACAACTAAAATATGTCAATACAAGTGGTATATATATTATAAATACCTGGTTGTCTTGTTTATCATACTATACAGAACAAATAAATTTACAGATTAACTGTTAATCTTACGTACTATTGTCATAAAATTGTTTTCAGTATAAATCTGGACTTTTCTTTAACTAAGGAGCTAAAACTATTATATTTGTTTTGAAATGTTATAAATAATAATGTCTACTTGACCTTAACAAGAATGTGTTTTTGTATTACAATGTATCTATAACACAATAAATCAATTGAATATAGACTTACAAAAAAAATAAATAAACAAAAATTCAATTGGGCAAAATAGATTTAAGAGAAATAAATGTTTAAATATTCTCATATAAAATTCCCTAATCATTTAACACAGCTTTCCGATCAGGTTTAAACAGATTCTTTTCAATTCATATTTTGAAAATTTCCCTAAAACTGATGAATGCTTTTGTCCGGATTAAAAGGTAGACTGCATTGTGACATTCATTTATTAAATAAGATACAAATGTATTTAGCTAGTGTTAAAATCCCTATCATTCACAAAATCTATTATACAACTAAATATGGTATGGATTCAATGCAGTTTGAATAATAGAAAAATATACTTCAAAAACACCAAAATATATTCCAAATTTAACTACATTTTCATACAGGGTCGATACTTAAAATTCAGTGTGCTATTTATCATGCTAACCAATTAAGCAATCTGATTTTTAATTGAAATAACAATCTAAGAACAGGTCATGTTCCATGGATAAGTCCAGTACACATCAGTCAATTAATTAAACAATGAATTAACTTTATCTTTAAATTAAAATTAAACTTACATTAACTCATTATGTCTCAGTTGTTATTTGATTAGATCTTTATCCAAAACATTTATTTATAAACATTTCTTTGAACAAATATCTGTATTAAAATAATAATTTTGTGTCAGTGACCTCAAAGACATGTGTGATTAGTTTAAAGTAAACACCTTCAATAACTCCTGCAAAAAGTTAACTGTTGAGGTATAATTTATCTGAGTAATTGGTCTTCAACAGTGACCAACATTTATGATTCAAAATCATAAAGTGGTGATCAAGAGTGCCAATTTGTCACAATTTGTATGCACAGTCACAAATACTCGGTCTCATTATAGTGAACAATATCATTAAAATTCACACACTTGATTATGACAAAATTATCAATACCCACATATCTGTAAGTGACCTTGACCTTGACAAAAGGGATCTAAATTTTTCACTAAATGCAGTAACTTAAAATGTTGAACAGTTATGCCAAGTAATACAAAAAATCTCTTTATATAAATAAAAGTTTCACTATTGTCAAATGTTTTTAATGTGACTTTGACCTTTGACCTAGATACTTTTTTCATGTATGCAACACTGCGTCTAATGATGGTGAACAATTGTGTCAAGTAATACTAAGATACACCTATGCATATTATAGAAATATGGTCTGGATAAAATCTTTATATTTCATCATCTCTAGTGACCTTGACCTTGCATTAATTGACCTTAACCTGGCATATATTGACCTTAATCTTGCATATATTAACCTAAATAATGCTGACAATACTCAAGATTCATGACTGTGAATGTCAAAATGTGTGTATGGACAATTTAGCAGTCTTGAATTTAATGATTACATAAAAAAAATGTTAACAGTCATGGGACATGATTTCAAACAAATCTAAGTCAATTAAGTTATGACAGGTCAAGGTCACAAGCAATGATGAATGTCCATACAGCATTCAGTTTTGTAGGGCATAATTGGAGGATTTTAACATATGACACCATACAATATATAGCCTGCTATTTTTTATGTGGAGGCAAATATTTTGGCAAGGAACAAAACTGACTTTAAACCAGCTGACAACACATGTGACATACTGGGTCACAGTCTATAACTTTGTTTATCCCAGCAACATAACAGTGAATGCTAACATTCTTAATGCTGGAGAATGGAAAACTGTCTAAAACAATAACAACTTAAAGGGCAATCTTTTAAAACATTAATAACCAATTCAATTTGCTTTTATAATACAAATAGTTTTGTGAGGGAAACTTTCAGACAATGTGACTATAAGAGGAAGGAAATATCTCAGCAGAACAGTGTCCTTTGGCCAAAAGCAAACATTGAAATATTCACAGTACATTATAACCAGTCTGTTTGTACAACATGATGTAATCAATGTTTATCTGATTTAACCAGTAAACTAGAGGCTCTCAATCAATTGTCTTGTGTATTTTCTTAAAATGAAACCTAACAACATTGTCTTATAAAACAAAAATTCAAGATTGTTACGGCTGCTGATAGTCAATCATTACCTTACTCCTTCGCATTTTCTTGTGTTTTTTTTCCAACGGAACACATTATTTGACCATTGTAAAAAAAGCTTCAAATTCACATGCAGTTTATGTCTAAATATTTTGGACTATCACAAAGTATATGTATTTACTTTTTACACTTAAATAGTAAAGGACATATATTAGGCGAGTCTTCCTACACCAGAGGTCAACTATTCACTTTCCTAGATTTTTTTCTTAGTTCAGTACAGTCTGTTTGAGTAGGATTTTAGATGCACCTTCACAAAATTATTCAGTTTTATAAAGGACAGTACAAACCATACTTACTATAATTTATATAACCATATCTCACAATAAGACAAGGAATGTGTCCATTGGACACGTATGCCTGCTAGTCAAAATATATGGACATGCCAAAGCTAGATTTTGAGATATTTTAGTTCTGGGGCAGTGAGAATCTAGCTTTTAATACGTAGAGGTGAGATATTGCCCCCGACACAAAATAGCACAATACCTGTCACACAGTACAATTAGTTGGAGTAGTAAACCTTCATATAATCCACTGTTTTCTCGATATACGGACGCACAGCTTGTCCGACAGCTGAGGACAAACATGCAGGACAAACATGGCAAATCAATATGCCCACCTCCAAGAAAAAGTGGGCATAAAATTATATATACTGGACTGACCAGTGCTGGAACTATAATTCTATATAAATGCTGAGAAAAGAGTGAAGATTATATCTGTACAGCTGTAACCATTAGTTAATATTTACCAGGCTAGGGTTCAAACCCACGACTCAAGCATGAAGGTGATTTTGTCACATCTACAGTAAGTACCCGAGCTCAAGAGACTTATGTTCAATTCAAAGTCAAAAAGGTCACACTCATTGCTCTATTTTAGGAAATACAATTAAAAGCCAGGATAAATATTTCTATGTTAATATGTTTTCATTCTAATTTAAATTAATTAAACCTAATCAAGTAATAAAAATATACACATACACTACCTTTCACTCCATATTGCACAGTAACATTCTGACCATTGTGTTCATATAGCCATTTTATAGCTTCCTTACTGCTGTACAAAAACTGACTTTTCAGTTTGAAAGTAATACCCGGTCACCCGAAGTATTTTCTAATTACTGGTCAGTGAAATGTCACAAATGTAGCCTATATCCTGAATGACCGATGCATCACAGTAATTCTCACAAGGTTTATCATATACAGTAATAGTCCTGATGCTCTTCAGCCCTTTCTTCGATGTTTCTTAAAGACAACCAGTATGTTTACACAGTCCAACCATACACAAAACTTCCTATCTGAAACATACAAACATAAAATACACAACCTGTCAGCAGCTACATAAAAGATGGATTACCATGAATTCATAAAAATTTCTATAATGAATATAAAATGATTCAAATACAAATTCGAAATGTGAAACCAAGTAGAAAACTTCAATTATTACAACTGAAAACATTTAAAGGAGTGATGATGAACTATTATTAACTATTTAAATTGTGAATCATCATCATACTTTATAAAACCATTCAAATGTCACATTTACAATACACTGCATGACCAGACTCTGGGTATGTGTGTATATATATACATGTACATAAAAATCTTTCAATATAATTGATTTAAATAAATCCTACTACCCTACAGAAAGTGTTATAATATCGATTATCTTGTTTTACATTAGTTGATCCATAATTTGGAACAATTGTAACCCTAAACTATTGGAACTGTAACTATAATTCTATGATAAAGTGAATGATAAGAAAATATCAGGTCAGATACTACTGGCTTAATTAGTCTATAATAGATATGTTAATAAAAAAAAATATGTCATTATTGTTGGTCATATATTGAAAAGGTTAAAGTTAAAAATTCACATCACACCCAGTCAATAACTAAGAATGACCGTTAACTATTAACTAACTCTTTAGAACCCAGACTGACAAGAAAATTTGCCTGCAAACATATTTAATGCTGCCATAAACCGAGAGCTATGAGCCTTCAAGTATATCTGTACAGTCTGGGTGGACATACTGTTTAATGCTTATATTTTAAGTTTTTTTTCAAAGATATTAAGGTAATCAAAATCACTCACAATGTACAATTTACTTTAAGTAGGACAAGTATATATAATTTGAAAGACATCAGTCAAAAAATAAAAATCACAACTCTTTTAAACACAAGTCGGAACTTGAGTTAGAACACAGTGACCCAAAGTCTAAGAATAAAAAATATTCTTGTTACATCTTTTTACAAACATTTTAAAAATATTTTCAATATTTTAGCCTGCATAACCTATACAGTTTAGTTCTCTGACATTTTGTAAAGACATATAGTTTGACAACCTTTCTCAACTTAATATATTGTTGTTTTATTTTTCTAAATAATTCTGTTCCACTAACCTTTATCACATACGGTAAGCCAAAACGAAATAAAAAATCCAGTGATATTTTCAAATCATGAGAAATCTATAGTAGCTAACTCCTAAAACAACCTGTCCCATGATACCAACAAAAATATTTTACCAACCAGAGCAAATCAAATAAACTAATAAAAAATTCAATACTTATTTATCAGCATTCTAATGCCCTTTATACACAGTTTAAACATTTTTATCTTTTTTTAAAGTACACCTTTTCCAATAAT